CAACATATCTCACCAAAACCAATAAATTTTGGAAAAAATTCCTTGAGAATAAGAAAGGATTAAAGTGTTAAATCTAAATGAGTCTGATATAATGACTGATTTTAGAACTGTGAAGGGAAGAGTGCCCTGTTAACTTTTTCTTTTTTCTTTTTTCTTTTTTATAAATTGACGAAGCATTTTATTTTCCCCTTGTTCAGACAAAATGTAACAAATTGAATGAAGATTATGTATAAATAGGGTGAGTCGGCTTCTTTTTCTCCCTGGTCAGATGAACTAGCGGTAAAAAAAATATTTAGGTTGGTTTATTTTAACAGTTGGTAGACCCAAGGATTGATGGTAGACTCAAGGGTTGATGGTAGACTCAAGGGTTGATGGTAGACTCAAGGGTCGATGATAGACCCAAGGATTGATGGTAGACTCAAGGGTTGAAAGTATACCCAAGTGTGGATGGTAGACACAAGGGTTGATGGTAGACTCAAGGGTTGATGGTAAACTCAAGGGTTGATGGTAGACTTAAGGGTTGATGGTAGACTCAAGGGTTGATGGTAGACTCAAGGGTTGATGGTAGATCCAAAGGTTGAAGGTAGACCGAAGGGTTGAAAGCAGACCCAAGGGTTGAAAGCAGACCCAAGGGTTAATATTTGAACCCATGCCAGGGTTGATGGTAGTCTCAAGGGTTGATGGTAGACCCAAGGTTTGATGGTAGACCCAAGGGTTGATGATAGACTCAAGGGTTGATGGTAGACTCAAGGGTTTAATAATAGACTGTAGACCCCATGCCAGGGTTGATGGTAGTCTCAAGGGTTGATGGTAGACCCAAAGGTTTATTGTAGACTCAAGAATTGATAGTGGTAGGTAGACTGAATTGTTGAGGGTAGACTCAAGGGTTGACGGTAGATCCAAGGGTTGATGGTAGACTCAAGGGTTGATGGTAGACCCTAGGGTTGATGGTAGACCCTAGGGTTGATGGTAGACCCTAGGGTTGATGGTGTACTGAAGGGTTGATGGAAGACCCTAGGGTTGAAGGTAGACCCTAGGGTTGAAGGTAGACCCAAGAGTGAGGGTTGAAGGGTAACGGTATGAATAAAAGTATTATTGTAAGTGCGATGAAAACAGAAGGCAGACAATATTATTGATTTATGTAGATAGGTTTATGTTAATTGTTCTACTAATGTTTTAGATGCTTAGCTCCAGATGCTAGGATATGTGTGAGCTAGAGAGGTTTAGCTCCAGATGCTAGGCTATGTATGAGCTAGAGAGGTTAAGCTTCAGATGCTAGGCTATGTGTGAGCTAGAGAGGTTTAGCTCCAGATGCTAGGATATGTGTGAGCTAGGAAGGTTTAGCTCCAGATGCTAGGCTATGTATGAGCTAGAGAGGTTTAGCTCCAGATGCTAGGCTATGTGTGAGCTAGAGAGGTTTAGCTTCAGATGCTAGGCTATGTGTGAGCGGGAGAGGTTTAGCTCCAGATGCTAGGCTATGTGTGAACTAGAGAGGTTTCAACTCAAATTAAACCAAGCAGCCATTCTTGAATGTTGGAGAGTTTTTAAACATTGACTATTTTCGGTTCCAGGTTCTCCATAGAAGTAACTTTCGGATTTATTACTGCAGAAACAATGAAGAAAGTGAGAATTTATCACTTTTATGCCTAAATGAAAAATAAAGTGTGTCTTGAAAAATGCTTGAATTATAATTATTAAAATGTTAAAAATTGAACAAAATTTAGTTTAAACTAGAAATCAGTAGTTACAATGAAGTAAACTGCTTGAAATAAAGTTACAATGAAGTACACTGCTTGAAATAAAGTTACAATGAAGTAAACTGCTTGAAATAAAATTACGATGAAGTAAACTGCTTGAAATAAAGTTACAATAAAGTTAACTGATTGAAATAAAGTTACAATGAAGTAAACTGCTTGAAATAAAGTTACAATAAAGTAAACTGCTTGAAATAAAGTTACAATGAAGTAAACCGCTTGAAATACAGTTACAATGAAGTATACTGTTTGAAATAAAGTTGCAATGAAGTAAACTGCTTGAAATAAAGTTACAATAAAGTAAACTGTTTTTAATAAAGTTACAATGCAGTACACTGCTTGAAATAAAGTGACAACGAAGTAAACTGCTTGAAATAAAGTGACAATGAAGTAAACCGCTTGAAATAAAGTTACATTGAAATTAACTGCTTGAAATAAAGTTACAATGAAGTAAACTGCTTGAAATAAAGTTACAATGAAGTAAACTGCTTGAAATAAAGTTACATTGAAGTAAACTGCTTGAAAGTGCCAACATAACTTGGATGAAATCAGTATTGGAGATGTTTATAATTCTTGTTGTGTATAATATATAGGAAACCGTTAGTTTATCCAATAATGCTGATCACTACCGTTTACATTTATTTATATAAAAATACATCAGAATTTACACAAATCAACAAATTTACGAAATTCCACATTTTACCAGAATAGAAAAAACTAGTTTAAACCAGGAAGAATATCTGAACTGTGCTTAAAGAAGGAGTTGGAGAATATACTTCAGTCCCGCATACCATCTAGCAGGGTTCACATTCACTTTAAATTCGGCAATTTTTTAATCAATTTGAATAAAGTATACAGTAATAATAGTATCTTTAGTTGTGCTAGTTGTGCTAGTTATGCATTTAGGTACCTTCCCACCTACCAGACTTTTGTCGGGAATAGCAGACGGCTCAAGTATATTTGCTATAATACTTTTGCCATATAGTTACACTTGCCATAATTGTCTTATTTTTCCGAAAATATCAATCGAACTATTTTTTTTATAAATGCGCCTCTCATGAAATTTCCCAACAAGTAGAAAAGTTTACAAAGTTAAGATCCATATTTTCTCGTTGACAAAATATATATTTTTGTTAAATGTAAATGCATATTTTTGTTAAATGTAAATATGTATTTTTGTTATATGTAAATACATATTTTTGTTAATTGATTAACAATAATTAATTGAAATAAAGTGTAACCATTGTGGGGCTTTATGGAAAATGTAATTTATAGCAAATGTACTATGGCAAATGTATTTATGGCAAATGTATTACGGCAAATGTATTTATGGCAAATGTATTTATGGCAAATGTATTTATGGCAAATGTACTATAGGTAAATGTACTATCACAAATATAATTGCTGGTAGTCCCTTCTATGAACAAACATGATAAAGCAGTCAATGATAAATTTAATCAAATGTAGAATGTTATCTTAATGTCCAGGCTTTAGGTATTTTATCTATCTACCATTGCAAATTCTAATTCTCTATAAACATTAAAGTTCTATATTGTAACATTAAACATTTTACGATATATCATCCTCACTCTAGAATATAGAAATGTGGAATCAGCTTATCATGTACGTGGATTTCTTTCTGTGTGACATTCTTTTTCATCTATTAAACTTGCTTGTCTTGGTGTTTCTTGTTTATTTGTATCCAATAAACGACTAAACTGATCGGGCCCAATTTTTTTTGTGTGATCTCATATGGTCAAAAGTTGAAAAATTTGACTTTAAAAAATTTAGATTTTTCTAAATCCACGCAAAATTTCCATAAATCCGCGAGAATTTTTTGTTATTGTTTGATCGTTTAAGCAAGGAAAATGGCGCAGACAAAGCAACAATAGCGTTTATTGTGTTAATAATTCAAACTTTAATTATTTTTCTTCAAATATCTTTTTCTTTGTACATGTTTAGACAATAAAACTAAAACATTTCGTACAGTAAGAAGAGGAAAACTCTGGAATAAGAAGACGACTCAAGTATGATTTTGAATAGTCACCTGAACACGAGTCACATTGGTTGTGCACTTTAACTTTAACTTTAACACTTTAACTTAATAAGTGATTTAATAATTTTCTGGTTCTCACTTAGGGGTCATATCAGGTCCCACACAAAATTTTGACGCTGTCAGAAAAGTGGTTTCAATTCTAATGGGAAATAAACAAACAAAAATAGCATTATTATTTAATATTTTTTTCTATTTGAAATTTCCTACTGGTCTGCTAATTCTTCTTCAAATATTGTGAAACATCTGTTGCATTTTGATCCAGAACTGCAATAAGGGGTAAAATGCAGTTTTGGGAGGTTTCTACTGACAATATTTGTAAATATTGTAAATATTTGGAAAACAACTAATACAACTGTTAATTTCTAGATTAAATTAATAATTTATTTTATCTAGGAAAAAATGAGCTAAAATAATATGCGTTCAGATTCAGTTCAGGCTTGATAAAGATTGTAGTGGTTTTACACAGGATAATTATATAATTATCCTGTGTAAAGGATAATTCTTTCTCCGGGTTTAGATTGGGGTTTATTTTTCATGTTGGTTTTACTCCAGGATTGTTTGGACCTGGTTTTTTTTGGACCTGGTTGGTTTGGACCCAGTTGGTGCGAACCTGGTTGGTTCGGACCTGAATGGTTTGAACCTGGTTGGTTTTGCTTCTCGAGTAAGCTTCAAATATTTACTAGCTGGTTAATATTCAGCTGTAAGGTTTTAAAACTGTTTATTTTAAAGGTTTAGCTTAGCTAGTTTAAATTTAAGACTCTTAGCCAAATTTTAATGGGTAAACCTTTAAAATTTCAAATCTAGAATTCATAGTTTTAAATACCAAAGGTCTACGACATCGGGTTGCAAAGACATAGGAATTAAAAAATTAGAGGTTGTAGCAAAGAATCAATTACTTTAGCAATGGGTTGGGTTAGCTCTAACTTGTGGTTGGTTTTACTCCGAATAGTTAGCTTTGATTAGAACTAATCAAGCTTGCGGTTGATTTAACTCCGAAAGTTTCGGTTCGGGTTAAATCCACGTTTGGTTTCAGCTTTTGGCTGGTTAAGGTCCAGATATGGTGGTTTGGCTTCAATTGGTTTAGTCCCGGGTTGGTTTGACTTAGTGTAACTTAGAGAGAGAGAGAGAGAGAGAGAACCGATTTCTTCTGGGATAAATGTGCTTGCTCCGGGTCTGGTTGTAGATCTGTATTGGTTGGGTTAGAACGGATCTGTGTCCTCCCAACACTGATTTTTCCCCTCGGAGTCGGATCTCCCAATCTTCAGTCTGTTTATCAACGTTCCCCGACCTACAGGTAGGCTTAATTCTGGTTCATATATACAGAGATCTTCTACAGTTCTAAGTTTTTTTTTTTTTTTTTATCATAATAAATATCATTTTCATGCCGGCTTTTAATCAGTTTTCGACTTACGAGAATGGCTTTATTTTCATTTAAAATGTTTAAAGCATGATATAAAAAATATATATATAAATCAAAGTTAAAATTAAAGTGATCTAAATCTTGTTTAAATTTATCATTTTTGAGATCAACATTACAGATTTTTCACTCTTTAACTTTAAAATTAAATAAAATGTATTCAAGTTGCATTAATTCAATAAAAATACAGTAGCGGGGGTAGTGGAAACAATATTCTAACTATATTCTCTAAAAATAGAATAACAACATTACAAAAAATATTTTAAAGGAAATAGAAACTTTATTTAGTAACATACAGGAGAAAACCTAATTCTTGCTTTTATCGCCCTTAGACCAACATTACCGACCTTTGATTCCACCAACAGAGGGAGGTTAAGTTATTTTACATCTCTTGGGACAATGAAGTAAAATAGCCACCCGCCTTGCGAAAAAATTCGCACATTTTCGTTTTTAATGACGATAAAATTGTGTTCAAAAAATTTTTAAGGAAAATAAGAATTTTACTTAACCACGTTTGCAATTTTTAATTTGAACTTAAATCATTTCGGGCATTTTAGTATTTTAGTATCTTATAATATTTTCTACATATTTTCTTTAATTTTTGAATACGGTTAAATAATCAGCATTTGGATAATATTTCTATAGTTCGGGCAATAGATGATTAACCATATCATTATGGGTGCAGACACGGGGGGATTATGGTTAAGGAGGGAGAGGATTATGGCTTTAGAAGGAAGGAGATTATGGATTAAGAGATTATAGTTTCAGGAGGGAGGGGATTATGGTTTCAGGAGGAAGAGGATTATGATTTCAGGAGGAAGAGGATTATGATTTCAGGAGGAAGAGGATTATGGATTCAGAAGGGAGAGGATTGTGGTTTTAGGAGGGATGGGATTATGGATTCAGGAGGAAGAGGATTATGGTTTTAGGAGGGATGGGATTATGGAATGTGCTGTATCTAGCAGTTGATGATAATGTTTATCAAACATTGGAAGTAGAAGTAGAACCTTAGATGTTTATTGTTTGCATAATACTTAACGAATATGCGTTATATATATATATGTATATATATAACAGATATATAACAGTAACTAGCAGAAGACACAAAGAAAATACAAGGTTACCCATAAAGAATAAAACTCTAGAGACGGTCACGAAATTTCTATTGTCTGTTTCCTTATATCGATGGTTTCCTTATATCGATGGTTTCCTGCAACTGTTAACTTGTTTCTTTCCTTGTCAAATCAAGCAATAAGACTTTAATAGACTTAAATTTAGGCAGAAGACTTAACTGATCCTTGGAATACCCATATTTTAAGAGTTTCCGGTCGTCTTTACAGTCTCATCCTTTGTGAGCAACTCTGTTCATTTACACAATTATGTATAAATGTAAATACGTATGATTATAAAGGTGTAACTTTTCTGTTATAACCTTTGCATACGAACCAAAAGTGATGCCAACCCTAAAACCTTAAAGGGACTCGAGACAACATATCTGATTTACAATGGCATCCTTAAAACCTTTATCTGAATAAAGATTGGGAAGTTATCCTCAGAAATCCTCTGGAAACTGATTAGATTCAGAAAATTGTCTCTTGAGTAAAAACCCGCAAATATCAATTTTAAAGAGAAACAAAAACTGAAGATTGTCAATTCCTTAGCTAAAAATTACTGATATATCATTTATTCTTGATAATGGACAAAGGTTACCATTGCGACCCATTAAAAAAAACACCCAGAACAGTTTTGAAATATTAACCTTTTTAACCTACTTCTGTTTTAGAAAGAATAAACTTCAGATTTGTTGAATTTATTTAAAGTTCTTGATTTATCAAGAGAGTTTTTATTAAAATCTAAAAGTTTGCTTTCTCTAAAAAAATATTTAAAAAAATATATGAAAAAATTCTGTTTTATATCTCGACTTCTGTAATATTCGAAACTATATACACATGAACTGATCTTGATATCTGATATGTTAATAAACTTAAAATCCTCAAAAAACTCTGACATTTTCAGCATGCAGAACAATATCACATGTACATGTACATTATATCATGAAAAGTATAGGTTTTAACATAACAATATCACATGTACATGTACATTATATCATGAAAAGTATAGGTTTTAACAGAACAATATCACATGTACATGTACATTATATCATGAAAAGTATAGATTTTAACAAAACAATATCACATGTACATGTGCATTATATCATGAAAAGTATAGATTTTAACAAAACAAAAATATTTGTTCAAAAATACATTTACTTTGCTTGACTGTCTATTTAGCGGCAACTAACACGACCCCTGCAGAGACGGTTAAATGCTGGTATTTTTTTCCAGAAAAGGGGGCGTAATGTGCCCTGAAACCTTAGTATTTATTTAATTTATCTAAAGAGTATTTTAGGATGAGGATATATTGACATTTAATCATTATGTTCCTGTCAATACAAAACCTTTCCCAAAAGGTTAGAATCGTAATTTTAATTAATTTTTTTTTACAGGAACGTAGACAGATAGATAAATAGTACACAACAAACTTTTAAGAATATTGTAATAAAAAATAATATTTCTTTTTAAGTTTTAAAAACTCTTTGGCACAAACTTAAATTTTTAAGTCTCTATATCTTTGCAACTTGATGGTGTAAATTAATATTTCAAATTAGTATTGTTTGATCTGACAGAATTCTTAGTTTGATATATTTAAGGTCTAACCCTTTGGCTTGTAAAGGAATTAGAAACTCAGAGTTTGTGGCAAAAACTCAGTTCCTTTTGTAAAAAATGTTCGGCGTCTATTAGTTTTTGGTAAATTTATGTCAATTCAACCACAAAATAGTACAAACTGACGCAAGTCGAATTCCAAAAAAAAAAAAATAAAAGATGTTGTCTGTTAACTTATAAAAATTATTGAAGCTCCTGAGACATATATATACATAAGTGTTCAAGTTCTAACCATAAAGAACATGAAAGAAGATAAACATGGTCGTTCTCCCAGGATTCTTTTAATCAAAATATATAGATCAGCATTCATCCAACATAGATATATAGATCATCATTCATCCAACATAGATATATAGATCAGCATTCATCCAACATAGATATATAGATCAGCATTCATCCAACGTAGATATATAGATCAGCATTCATCCAACATAAATATATAGATCAGCAGTAATCCAACAGAAATATATTTATCAGCATTCATCTAACAGAAATATATAGATCAGCATTCATCCAACATAGAAAATAGATCAGTATTCATCCTGCATAAATATATAGATCAGCATTCATCCAACATAGATATATAGATCAGTATTTATCCAACATAGATGTATAGATCAGTATTCATCCAACATAAATATATAGACCAGCATTCATCCACCATAAATATAAAAACTAGATATTCATCCGTCATCAAAATTTACATAATTTATATTCTCCGGACTTGTATAAAAATGGTTGAAGGTCGTATATTAGACCAATATTAAATGTTCTTTTATCCATATATTGAGTTTAGTGTTAAGGAAACAATAAAATAATAATTGTTCTTAATTAGTTTTGACGAGAAACATATTATACATACATTATACATTGGAAATATAGAACAAATATACATGCTTAGAAGTATCCCTGGTATCCCTGGTATCCCTGGTATCCCTGGTATCCCTGGTATCCCTGGTATCCCTGGTATCCCTGGTATACCTGGTATCCCTGGTATCCCTGGTATCCCTGGTATTCCTGGTATCCCTGGTATCCCTGGTTTCCCTGGTATCCCTGGTTTCCTGGTATTCTTGGTATTCTTGGTATCCCTGGTATCCCTGGTATCCCTGGTATCCCTGGTATCCCTGGTTTCCTAGTATCCTTGGTTTTCTTGGTATCCCTGGTATCCCTGGTAGCCGTGTTATCTCTGGTATCCCTAGTATCCCTGGTATCCCTGGTTTCCTGGTATCCTTGGTATTCTTGGTATCCCTGGTATCCTTGGTAGCCGTGTTATCTCTGGTATCCCTAGTATCCCTGGTATCCCTGATATCCCTGGTATCCCTGGTATCCCTGGTATCCCTGGTATCCCTAGTATCCCTGGTATCCCTGGTATCTCTGGTATCCCTGGTATCCCTGGTTTCCCTGGTATCCCTGGTATCCTTGGTATTCTTGGTATCCCTGGTATCTCTGGTATCCCTGGTATCCCTGGTATCCCTGGTATCCCTGGTATCCCTGGTATCCCTTGTATCCCTGGTATCCCTAGTTTTCCTGGTATCCCTGGTATCCCTGGTATCCCTGGTATCCCTTGTATCCCTGGTATCCCTAGTTTTCCTGGTATCCCTGGTATCCCTGGGATCCCTGGTATCCCTGGTATCCCTGGTATCCCTGGTATCCCTGGTATCCCTAGTATCCCTGGTATCCCTGGTATCCCTAGTATCCCTGGTATCCCTGGTATCCCTGGTATCCCTAGTATTCTTGGTACCTCCTTCAATATATCCAACTCTATACTCAATACATATTATGTAAACTGTATAGTATATGCATGCACAATGCAAGAGCTGTATACGTATGTATTGTATACCTATACTGTCTTTTCTTATTACTATAATAGGTTAAGGTTTACTTCTCTATAACAAATACAGGGTGTCCCAATAAACATGGGAATTAAGAAGGACTTGAAAATCGTCTTGAATTTTCGATAGTTGATAAATGAAAAAAAAGATTTTTTAAAAAGATTTTAAATGTGGTGTGCCTTTTTTGTATCTTCAATATCTTCTTCAATTTTAATGGTGCAAAAATGGTAGACCACATTTTGGAATTCCCGAGAATAATAAGTTAAGATGTTAATTCTTTTAACTAGGATACTAATAAATTGAGATGTCGTAATAATAAAAC